ATGACGAGATCGAGATCCCGCTCTCCGACGTACAGGGCGATCGATTCTCTTCACTACCATAGGTCCCCGGTTGCCAGGAATACCTTGTTCTAACGCGAGGACTACCATGACTGGGGCTCGATCCACGCGAACTCGATACACTCTTCGGACTCTTTGGGCTAACGATCCCACTAGAGCTGAAGACACGACCCAAACGCAGTCTCAGAGATGTCTTACTTTTGAATTTTGCAACACAATTGCCGTCAACGTTCGAAACAGTCTGATCGGACGACTCTAAATTACGACTCGTCATGATTCTCGAAGAACGATTGAATTCGTTGAAGTTTACTTTAAGCTTTTACACGTATATTAATAAGCTTATAAGAATAAAAAATCAGCCCGTTAACTTACAAAAAGTTCAAGTATTCCTTCGAAACAAGCATACTAAAACTCACCACTGTCGAAGAATGTGCCACACGCGAGTCTGACAAATAATAAAGAAATCGCAATTCATATTTAAAATTAAAATAATTCGTCTTGAATTCACGCTTTATTTTTTTCACGAGTATCGCTGGCGACGACCAAAACTGCCGTAGTTCGTGATTATCACTTATGCGTTAAATTATATTATCAACGCTATTCAAAATATTCGAGTATGTGAGTCGCACGTACGACGCGTTGTATCAGAACAGTGTACTAACAATAAGAGCGACTGCGTTGAGATTTCGCCAAGGAATTGGATAAAACCCCTATCGAGCCATAAACTTCCTGCCGGCACTAACCACATCCTTCCTCCTTCGCTTTTATCAATCTTGAAAATCCTTATATAAATGTATACCTATATAAACCAGGAGTCTAATAATAAGTTGGGGAAAAGTGTAATACGTGAAAGCGATAAAACGCTCAAATACTCCATATGACAGCGATTGTCTAATCTAATCGGAGCACGAAAATCATAGCATATCAATGACAAGTTAATCGTTTTGTAAATACTCGATTATCAGGTTCGCTTTAATCCAACTGTTGCGAACGATGAGAACCTCATACAACACAATGAAAAGAAGTAGGACAACAGGTGAATTTTTAATTGCCTAGTTTGTATTTTGTCTTTGATTTACAGATCAACACTCGCTGCATGGTACAATGATAATAAATAATCGAGGACGCGGAATCCGCGGAAGAGAGTGGCTCAATCACTCGCATGGCGGGCGTTAGCGCTTCTGAGAATATCTCTTCGGTGTGATGAAGAAAAAAGAAGCAGGATCTAGCTCGATCCCTGTGTCATGTCATGTACATATTTGCACAATTACCTACTTATCAACAATACAATAACAATTCATTACTATTTGAACACGTATTGCTAACGCTTTTGAGTACCATTGAGAGGAGAGTTCATGGGATGAACACGAGTGAGATGACGAGACATGATGAGATGATAATCGTACTAATATCGCGACTCATGCCACACGCGGCATCTCGCACGCGCTCGCTCGCTCGCGTTCGTCGTGATTTCCGCGATCGGTAGCATGCACGCGGGGAGACGCCTACTTGGTCGCTTGTTCCAGGTAAGCTATAAGATCGCCTCGCTCCTGCGGTTTTTTCAATCCGGCGAACACCATCTTCGTGCCGGGAATGTACTTCTTTGGATTTTCTAAATACTCGAACAGAGTATCCTTACTCCAAGTGATACCTAAAACATAGCGGCGCGCAGATTACAATTAGGTGTATATGTACAGATTACATTACATAAGTGTACATATTTATTCCAAATACAAATAACGATTAGTGCTATAAATAATACAGTTAATAATACACTACATACAGTTAATAATACAGTAAATAATACACTATAAATAACCGAATTTCTCTCGTGCTATTTATAAATTTATCGTCTTCAACTGTGTGTCAATAAATAGCTGAATACATACCTTTCGCTTTGTTGGCATCGGTATATAGGTAACCTGGGGCTTGACCAGTTTTTCTACCTATAAGTCCGTGTAAATTGGGACCTACTTTGTGTTTGCCACCTGCTTCGACGGTATGACACTGTGCGCATCTTTGAATAAAAATCTAGAAAAAAGAAATACACAATGATAAGTTGTTGTTTACAAGACCATCAAATTCTGTCTTTATTATTTATTACCTTCTTTCCTTTCTCTGGATCGCCCGTCGGAACACCCATATTTATTCAATTGTGTGCTCTGGAAAAAGACGTTCAATTATACGAAAATTGTCACGCTAAAAAAATACAAATAATTTTTTATTGTCACACGTTTTATTAAATATTTCATCATTATTTGACGTTGAACAAAGATTCAAAGTTATGATTATTGAATAATAATATTAAAATTAACCCGTTAAATCCTAGCAAGCCCTACGTGTTTTTCTGTTTTAAATGCTCGTGTCCTAATTAAACTTTTTAGACCGTACAGTTAAACAGAATTGCTCTTTCCGAAAATTTTTCGCGCGCACGAGAAATTTTTCCGCACGCGCTTCGTTGTGCCAGCGTGCGTATATATACGAACGTTGTTCAGTGTAGAACGAGAACGTACTTTTAACTCGGTATTTAAATACACAGACGTGTGAAGAGACGTTTCTGTTTTCTCGAACTGATTTGAGAGCACCTACGCTATAACCATGTTTACACAGCGGCTTATAATCTGGTTTAATAACTACCGTATATTATCCAATCCAACATTTTTCTTCTTTTAATCGTAATGTTCATTTTAGGTATGAGACTTTTTGATACTTAAACTATAACTTTTAGTACGTATATGTCAAGGATTGATTCAAACGTTTAGAGTATCAAAATAGGTTTATATATTTAAATGATCGTTATAATAAAAAGAAAAAAATGTTGGATCGGATAGTATACGGTAGTTATAGGCTGCGTTCGGAGATTAAACCGGATTATAAGCCGCTGTGTAAACGTAGTCAATTATATAATGACGAACTATTATATAATTAATAGCTAAATAATAGAAACGGCCAAATTACGAGCTATATAATTAATATTCCTATCGCAATTTTTTTACAAAATATTGTACAAAAGTACGTGCTCTCTGACTCTCTCTCTCTCTCTACCTTGGGCTTATCAGTCACTCGCGATATTGCAACGCGTCACCTTTGCATCATGCAGAGTGCATTTCTTTTTCCTCGTGATACGTCATCACACGTGACGTGTCGGAGGAGCGCATAAAGAACAGGTCGGACTCGCGAGACTCTCGAGCAATTGTGAAACAATTACGTTATGCAATAATCATCAATTTTCGAATACCCTAGCGTTGAATAAGTCATTTCGTATTAAAAAAAAACCCTGCGACACGTGATACCGAGTGTCATCGGTGAAGGTCATCATGCATCAAATTCTCGGGGAATCAAAAATGACGTAGACGTAAAAGGAGAAAAGAGACGTCCGAAGCGTGGACATGTGTAAATCTAAAAAGTGACCTTTGAGCCAATTGTATCACAGTATCAATATCGATCGATTCATTTCTTTTTCCTTCCAAGTCTCTTATAACAAAGATAAACGGCGATAATTTTAATCGCTTCTTTCCTGTTGTTGAAAGCGGGAAATTAGGGCGATATTACGATATCAATCGGGACAGATGTCGTCCAGAAAGGTTCTTCCGAAAATCGGAGCAATTTCGAATTAATTTCGAATTTCGACCGATCGATCCCAAGGAGCCACCACATCTTTGGCAACCCGCTTCCAAATGACGTTTCGCGCGACTCTAAAAACGATGCATTCTTTTGCATTCGGAAAACGTCTCAAGATTGGCTCAGGGCCAGGGTTAGACGCGTTACGTAAGCTGCTACTGTCCGACGCGGTCACGCGGTCACGCGGACGTCGCGAACGTCCGTACGAAGAGGAGCCGCAGCCGAGTTCAACGAGAAAGGCATCGCGGACACGCCAATTTTCCTCTCGTAAACGCACGAATTCTGTCGTGCATTCCGACGATCGGAAATTGCAGTTTTGACCCGGTACCAGATAACAGATTTCGCGGATCAGATTTCATGAGATGAACGCGCGCGAGTACCACGTGGTGCCGATGCCGTGAGGGGAATGAGCGGAACGAGCGGAGATACGAATTTGACAGGGAAAGGGACGTTTGTCCGTCTTCACGGTACATACGTGCACGATACTGTGCGTGCGTGCGTGCGTGCGTGCGTACGTACTCGTACGCGTGTACTCACCGCGCGCCTCTGTCACCCAGAGAAGTGGTGTAGTTGTCTGGCCCGTTGTTCGACCGCGAATACCAGCAACTGCGATCGATGTGGAATCACTGGCTGGGCTGGCCTCGAGTCTCGACTAGTCTCGAGCTCTCGAGCGCGTTTTCGGGATATGTATTCCAATGGCTGATGCAACCGACGCACGCACGCAGTCGCAGCTCGCACCACGCACACATGCACATGGACCGGAGTCCGAAGTGGTCCGGAGCACGGTCGTATACTAACATATATGGACGGTCGCCCGCCAGATGGCGAGATTGGCGAGATGGCGGTAGCAAATAAGGAAATCAGCCGCGAAGTTTCGTCTTCGTGTCGTGGGTCACGATTACTTCATTCCTGTTATTCTTATTACATTCTTTCATTATAACTTATCGCACTTGTTCGGAAGTGCAGCGAAAACAAACAGACTCTAATGCTTGAGTCAGAGAGAAAGATCTCTGACTAATGTTTTCAGGGTGGGTAGTATATCGATTCGATCACGTGGTTGCTACATTAGTTAGACAAGGATAGGTATGTACTCGCGTTCAACTATTTCTCTCACACAGCTCTGGCGGCGGATTCAGGCGGATTATCCGTCTGTTCTTTTTCGAAGAACTTCCTGAACTGATGCACATTGGTGCAATAAGTTATAGTAAAACAAAATTTTAAAATTTTTATTTTCGGCATCAAATTTGATCGATAAACATGTAATAATATATATATATATATACACTTTAATTATGTAAAAGGAGTTTTAAATCTATAAATGCAATGTGTATGTATGTACGAAAAGTGTACGTACATTGCATGCCGAAAATAACGCGCTCGATCGGTAAAAACTTTAGGCTTTAGGCACGCCAAAGCACACAATATTGGTGAGAAAGTCACTTTCGTTCAGATCAGATTTACTTTTATATCTTTACTTCATTTGCTTGATATTTTATCCCATGCATCGTAGTCAATCGTAGTTTAGATTGGAGAACGAACGGAGGAACATCGAGCCTGTCGGTAGTGTCGGTTATTTCTTGTTTCCGATATCGCCCGGCGCCCGGCGCCCGGCGCAAGAGTTGTCAGTTGTCAGGGTTGTCGGACGACGTGGCCGATGATTGAGTATGAAGAGTAGAGGAGTATGAGTATGGTGGGCAGTGCAAATAAAACGACGATATTATCACGAGTTTCCGATATGTCACGCAGCGAGGCTCAATAAAGCGGGTATTGTTTGCGAGTTGGATTCTCTGGCCACGTTTCAACGTCGTTTCGATTTCCCGGCTCCGCTGTCGCACGACGCGGACGTTGCAACATGGGTCTGTGCAAGTGTCCGAAAAGAAGAGTAACGAACCAATTTTGTTTTGAACATCGCGTCAATGTATGCGAACACTGCATGGTTACGAGTCACCCAAAGGTAATTTCTTCTCGATTGTTTTTTCATATTTTTTTTGTTGGGTGTGTGTGTGTGTGTGTGTAGCTATCTTTGAGGCAAAGCAAATTCAAACAGTTTATCATAACAGTATCATGCGCGACACGTATGTACATACATCTAACGTTACTTTGATCTTTTACAGTGTATAGTGCAGTCATATTTACTATGGCTCCATGACCATGATTACAATCCAGTTTGTACGCTATGTTCGGATAAATTGAGCGACGGCGATTGTATAAGATTAACGTGCTATCACATGTATCATTGGGTATGCTTGGACCGATACGCCAGAGATCTGCCGGCGACTACTGCCCCAGCGGGATACGCTTGTCCTACGTGTAGAGTGTGTATTTTTCCACAACCAAAATTGGTATCGCCAGTCGCAGATGTTTTGAGAGAGAAATTAGCCACTGTCAACTGGGCTCGAGCTGGTCTTGGCTTACCATTGGTATTTATTATTATTGATTTGTTACCGGTGTTCCTAATTAATGCCAAATGTGTTGTTTTGTATCATAATTGCTTTGTTGCAGCTAAGTGACGATAGGGAACAAAAACCAGAACACGAACGGTCTTCGATAACTGTAGAAAACTCTCTGTTCCAAAATCATACAGCAGCTATACCGTCGTCACCCACGGTGGCTGTGTCTCGTACAAGCAGTACCATAAATTCAAATTCCATCGTCAGCAATGTACATGCGAACAATCAGAAGCTTGGCCCACCTTATTCGGTTGTAAATATAGATTCGTCTCTGGGATTATCTACTCCGGCATCTAGGAAGGTATGCGAAGCTTACGACGATCCAAAGGACATGTCCTTCGATCACGATGAGAACAAATACCAACGCAAGTCAGCCATAGAATGGTTCCGAAGATGGTGGAAACTGATATCGAGAGCACCAGTACGACGAAAAACTGCGGGATCTCTGTATAAGAGATACGCAATATTGTCCGTTATCGGTATATTGTTCTTCGTTGGAATTATTTTGCTCTTTTCGTGGCTAGGCAGAATGGCGACGGATGGCGATCCAAATTTCGACGTGATAGCGAATCCTAATCTGAAATTCGGCGAGAAGTCTGTAATTTAATATGTCGTGCATCACGAGGGGTAATAATCGTCGGTCACGAG